TTTAAAAGATGCCATTCATGATAGTAATAGTGAATAGAATATATTTAGGTGTAAATTTGAAAAATATATACAGGACTTATTTCCTAAAAATCTATAACTTTACTAAAGCATATGTATAAATGAATATATGCTTTTGAACTGGAAGAACTATTATTATAAAAATACGAATAATTCCCAAGCTAATACAATAATTTCTACATTAAAATCAAAACCCTGATTTCATTGGTAATATGTGAAAATAAATTTAAAAATCATATTAAATAATAAGTGGGTAAGAATTAATTAGAAAAGGAATTGCTAAGAGAAAAGGAGAGAGAATTTGCACTACCAGATATTTAAATATGTTGTAAAGTTACAACAGTTAAATCATTTTGGCACAGATTAAAAATAAGATAAATAATGGAATAAAATAGAAAGCCAGGAGGAGATCAAATACCCATAAGCATTTAATATATGATAAATTGGAAAAGGACAGGTTGCTATTGAGCAAATGGTGCTGGGGCAACTGGTTAACTATTCAAAAAAATAAAATGGTATGACATCTTTGTCATACCATACACAAAAATAAGTTCCAGATTGATTAAACTGTTAAATGTAAAGCTATTTCTCTGATTTGGGAAATGAGAAGGCCATTCTAAGACTATAAGCAAATATAGAATCATACGGACAATGTTTGATAGATTTGAGTGTATAACAATATAAATCATTCATCTAACAACACTTCTATATACAAAAGTAAAAGATAGTGAACTAGAAAAACACTTGCAGCACATATGAACAAGACTTGCTGGCCTTACTATATAAAGAGCTTTCACAAATCATTAAGAAAAAACAAACAAACATGCACTGTTATGGCAAAATGGGCAAAAATTATGTCCAGATAATTATAAAAGGAAAAAATACTAATAGCCAGTAAAAGTACTAGAAAATATGCATCCTCAAAAATCAAAAATTTGAATTTGCTAAAATGATACCTCTATTCACTTATCAAATTGGCAGCGATATTAAAAAAATAATAATACATGATATTGTATGACAGTCTGCTGGTGGGAATGTAAATTTATACAACCCTCCAAGAGAGAAATGGACAATATGTATTGAGAAGTTTATAAATGTTCCTATCCTTTACTTCAGAAACTTTTATAGAAATTCTACCTAAAGAAGTAATTAGAGGGGTCCACAAATATTTGTGTTCACTATAATTTAGTTAAGAAAAAACCTAAGTGTCCAACCATAGGTGACTGGTAAAAAAAAAAAAAATCATGGCACTTGCATACAATGGAATAGTACGCAGCTCATGTAGGACATTTCAATCATGATATAATAAATTAAAAATATAGGCTACAAAACAACAAGATACCAATTTGGTTAAAATTATGTATGGATGTGCATATTTGACAAATGTTCAACAACATGTAAACAGTGGCTTTTTAAGGGTGATGGGATTATAGTGGGTTTTTTTCTCCTTTTTGTTTCATTTATTCCACAAACACTAGCTTGCTATTATGTCAGATATTCCATATATTATGACTTTTCTCATTACTTTGTAATCAGAAAAAGAGATGTATTTTGTACAAGTCCGTCATCCAAAACTGACTTCATCTTCCAGATACTAAAAAGCTAATAAAGAACTTGGAGCAAAAATAGGAAGGACAGGAACCTTAATGAAAGCATAAAATAACTTCAAAAAGAGTTGGGGAAATATTCAGATCCCTCCACGTCCTACCTTTAGAAATACTTTGTAAGCCGTACTCACCTGTTCCAGCTTGGATGCCGTCTGTTCTTACAAATGTGAACCTGGGTAGCATCTTAAGGACCCCTTTCTAACAGGGTCCCCAAAGCGGACCATTTAAGGAGCCTGACAAGTCTCTAAGCATTCAAAATCCGTTATCCCATTGGACCCCTCACAGCAATAATAGGAGGTGGCGAGGACTGACTGTGTGGACAGGGACGCTTGACTTGGGGAGGTCATGCCTTGCCCAAGGATGAACCCCGGGCTGGAGATCTGGGCAGGCAGAGGTGGGTGGGAAGGGCCGGGGGCGAGGGCCGGGGCCGGAGGGGCGGGCGCCTTACCGCGGCTTGCTGGAAGGCGCCCTTGGTGTAGGTGCCGCCGCCACGGTAGGTGATGGCCGGGATCTCGCGGCTGAGCAGCGCGCACTTGTGCTGGCGCGCGCGGCGGGAGGAGATGTAGTCGACGCGCGGCACCACGTTGTTCTTGGACGAGAAGGTCACGATGGCCACGCGCGTGGCCGTGGGCACCACGGGGAAGTCCGACAGCAGCTTGCGGACGAACTTGAGCTCGCTGAGGAAGTTGGCTTGGCCCACGCTGGACGACTCGTCCACCAGGAAGACGAGCTCCAGGCGCTCGCTGAGCTCCCGCAGCCGCCGCACGCGTCGCCGGAACGCCTGGCCCAGCCGCTCCACTTTGCTCTCCGCCGCGTCCTCGCCCGGCTCGGGCGGCTCGGGCAGCGCGGGCAGCCGCCCCGGAGCCCCGGGGGCCGCCTCGGGGAAGAAGCGGAAGCTGAAGTTACGCGACGGGGACATCTGCTGAAAGGTCGCCCAACCCGAAACGAGCGCCAGACCCCAGCAACAAAAGGCCAGGCGCGGCCACATTGCGCTGGAGACGGAGCGGCCGCCCCGGAGCGCAGGCGGCGGCCCGGGCGGGGAGAGGCGCCCGGCGGCCGGGCTCGCGGAGGGGCGTGCGCGGAGCGGGCGGCGGGGCGGCGGCCGCGAGCCTCAGCGCCCTTGCATCTGACACTGGGGACACAATCCAGACTCCTCCGGCAGCTCGGGGACCCGGGAGGGAACGGCGCGCGCTCTCTACTCCTCTAGCTCTCCTCTTTTTTTCTTCCCTCTCTCCTCCTCCTCTCTCTCCCTGAAGCCTATAAAATGTTTGAAGGAAAGGGGGCAGTCAAGAAAAATCTCCCGCTTCCCTCCTTCTCTCCCTCTCTCCCGCCTCTCCCGGTCTCTCCCTCTCCCCTCTCCTCTCTGCTTTCTCTATCTCTGCCTCTATCTCTCTCCTCCCCCTCTCATTCTCCTCCCAGGTTCAAGCCAACGACTCGGAGATTCCATGACACCAGAACCCCGCGCCTGTCAGGCTGTCAACATTCCCGCAGCAAGCGCACCAGCGCCGAAGCCCTGATTGATCCCATATGTCTGGCAGGAGCTGCAGAGGAATTCGCTGGAGATGGATCCAGATACCGAGAGTGCCACAGTAATTGGAAACACTTTGTAGAAGAAAACACACACACACACACGGACTGGCCAGGGAGTTGAAAGCATCCTTTGAAAACTGCTTGCTCACCTTTCGTGTTTCTTTTTCCCCCCTTCAGTGCTCCAACGCCCTCACCGAGCAGATGTTTGTAGGACTTTCCTGATGGGGATTTCTGATCAGTGGTGTGTGTGAGCTCGCAGACCCTGAGGGCTCCCTCAGATCGCATCATATAGGGGATTGTATCTACCCCAATACATTCCATAGGGATGATTTGTCGTGGTGCCTTTTCATACATTTATTTATTCATCCATTTGTTCATTCATTTATTTAACAAATATTTTTTGAGTACCCACGATGTGCCAGGATCTGTGCTAGGCACCAGGAATATAAGGAGGAACAAAGATGTACATGGATCATGTCCTCAAGGAACTTACAGGGCAACAAGTGAGGTGATCATTAATCAGATATTCACATACAAAACATATATAATTACAACTGACCACGCTAAGTGCTATAATGGAGATCTTAGGTAGACAGATTTGACCTTGGAGAGGCCAGGGAAGCCTTCTATGAGGATGCAAAGTTTGTGCTGAAATCTGAAGTCTGAGTAGGTTTCCCTTTCCCCCCAATCTCCTTTCATGTGCTCTTGGTCTATTTCAACAGGGGAGATCCACCTGGCTTTGAATGGTAGCTGGCATATATCTACTTCAAAACACAAGTGGCTACTTGGAGGTGGTTATTCCAAAGCAAGACCACAAAGGGACTGGTACAAGTGTAAAGAAGAAGCACAATTTGCACGAGAGGTGGGGCCCTTGGTTAAAAGACCAGAATCAGGAGCCCTGGGTAGATATGCCTCTGCAGTTCTACAAACCACCTGGAATTGAGTCGCTTCCAATCCTTGGCTCAGTTTCTGTATCTACTTCATAATGGAATTCAGCAGTGTATTGGTTGAAATATTAGAGCTCTGGCATCAGTTTGCCTGGGATGAAATCTTGGCTCTGCCAAGGTATGACCTTGACATTAGTTTGTTCATTTGTAAAATGGAGTAATAATAGTAACATCTGAAGATTTATTATAAAGATTAAATCATAAAGTTCTTAGGACAGTGCTAAGAACATAGCATGTACTCAATAAATGCTGGTTGCTGTTATTGTCATCTTTAATTATGAATGTTTTCCAACATTCATGTTTTCCAAATCCTTGTTTTCTTAACAATCTTTATTGACCGTCTACTATGTTCCAGCATGTTGGATAATGAGGACTTAAAGGTGAATAAGACTCAGTTCCATTCTTTGAGAAGTTTAAAGAATATCAGAAAAGAACATAGATTTTGCAAACCATTACAAAGCAGTAGGATGATTGCAAGAATGGAGAAGAGGGAGTAAGGAGGAGAAAGATCTAAATCTTCCTGGGGAAAGAGCAAGAACTCATCTGAGCTGGAACTTTGAAAAAAAGAGAAAGATTTTCCAAATTTTATCTACTCTACTCTGTATTATTTAAAACACATCATTAAAGGCTAACATTTCAGGACCTTTATGTACAAGGCACCATGGCAACTGCTATGTGCACTATCTCTTGTGTTCCCCACAAAAACCCAGGGGGGTAGGCAATTACTTTAGAACTCTGGTTGCAAGCAATAGGCACCCAATTTCTTCTAATTTAAACAAGAAGGAATTTTTTGGCTCACATAACTAAACAGGGAAAAAGACAGGGGGTGGAGCTGGTCTCAGAAAGACTTGGAAAAGGAAATCAAGAACTACTTAGGTCTTCATTTTTTTTCTCACTTCTGCTTCTCTTTGCATGCTACATTTAGTCTCTTCAGATTTATGACCTTAGAAAGACTCTTCCCCCACAAGCTCAAGTTAAAAAAAAAAAATAATAAAGCCACCACCACTACCACCTCCACTGGAATAGGCATGGGTCAGATGCCCGTTCTTTAAGCCAGCATTGTAGTTGAGGGGATGGGCCATTATAATTGTCCTAGCTTAGGTCACACGCTCACTATGGTGGAGACTCCTAGTCATCTACCCCACACCTATAGTCTCGCCTTCTTGAATAGCAATAGAGCCCCTGAGTGTTAGCTGGGCACAAAGCTTCCTAGAATAAAGAACCACATTTCCCAGCCTCTCTTGTATCTGGATATGACCATGTAACTACGTTCCTAGCAATGATATAAAAGTGCTGGTTTTATGTGGCAGCTTTTGGAAAGCTTTTTTTTAAAAAAAATAGCTGCTGTCTTTTATCTGTCTCTTCCTTTCATCCTGTATTTCACCTTTCTGTCTAGAACGTGAATATGGTAGCAGAATTCTAGCAGCCATCTTGGACCGTGAGAATGATGGTCACATCCTAGAGATGGGTGAAGCCTGGTCCCCTGTAGACATCCTAAAGTAGAACCACCATACCAATCCCAGATTGCCTATCTATCCCTTTTATGTTGAGTTTTTCTGTCACATTCAGCTGAACTTAATCCTGATGAATGTACTCAAACCTGTAAACACGGAGGCTACCCTATCAGTACATGGTTTCATGAATGCTGTGGCAGAGAAAAGAAGACATAGTGACTTGCACACTGGCTCTAAAATTTGTCCCCCCCCCCACACAAGGTGACACACATCACTTCTGCTCCATTTCATTAGCCAAAGCACATCACATGACCTTGTATAACTCCAAAGGGACTAGGGAAGTACAATCTTACCATATTTCCAGAAAGCAGAAAACTATAAATATTTGGTGAACAGCACGAATAATTACTATATTGAGTCACATAGTAATAACAATGGAGACACAGTTGAGTTGCAAAAGAAGAGACAAAACTCTGGGAACCTCTCCCCTAAAATTGAGGAGGCTCCTACAGGAAAGAATTATAAATTAGTTTCTCTGAGGACTTTCTGACTTTTAGTTTGGGACGGTAAGTTACCTGATTCCTGCTAATTTACATATGACCTTGGCAAATTATGTATTAATAGCAGTACCCGATTCCAGCAAAAGTTTGTGATTGAGCAGCTGTAGATGTTAGATTAAATTAATTTTTTTACATTTTCCATCACAGCCCTTCTTGGACTCATTGTCTTTCTTGGCACAAAACACCCAATTATATTAAAATACTGGTATTGAAATGTTTTTAAGAACATTTGTCATATAGTAATCCTATGGGTACCTCTTTATGATCACATTAAATAACATCATCTATCAACTGTTTCTGTAAATGCCTTATTTTCAAAGTAATGAAAGTAACAACATTTTGAGATATCTGCCATAGGCCTAGGCACATTTAAGGCTCTCTAGATAATTCTGACACATGCCCTAGGGGTGAAAGCATAAGACTAACATGCTCTGGCATTGTGTACTTCCAATGGGCTTGTCCTCATGGTAAGATAGTGGGGACATATCACAGTCAGAGAAGTCTTGTCTGGATGGTATTAAGACTGCTGCTCCAAGTCTTGCCTCTGCTCTCCAGTGCTCTGTAGCCCATTATACTCTCTATAGTCTAAAACAGTGGTTCTCAATGGGGGAATTTTGCATGCCTCACCCCCAGGATCATTGGGCAATGTCTGGAGACATTTGGAGGGGGTGCAGCACTACTGGCATCTGTCCAGGGCATTGCAGGGTACAACTAAAAATCCTACAATGCCCTGGACAGCCCCCACAACAAAGAATCATCCAGCCTCTCATGTTGGTGGTGAGGAGGAGAAACCCTGGCCTATACCACAATAATAGACACAGAAGATGATAAAAACTCATGATACTAAAATCTAAAATTGAGAAGCAACATAGGAACTGAGAAAGAGAGCAGAGTAGTGCTGACCGAGATCCTGCTGAGATACCCAGAATCAAGTCCAATAATGGGAACAGAGGCAGGAAAAATGTTTATTTCCATGAATGCTGGTTGTCGTGTTCTGTGTTGTTTCATTTTGTTTTAAAATCTGTAACACAGTGTCAGTGAATCATAGTGGCAGGCAGTGGTGATAGGAGGAAGATGCCACCTTGTGACTGTACTGTGACTGTCCTTACAAGAATATCTTTCTGTTGCAAATTTAACAAAGACCTTCTCCCACATACAGAGTTTGGGAAAATATGCGACCCTATATGTTTCTGTAAGTAGAATTACTTGAAGATGGATTTCATGGTGGAAAAAGCCCTGGTAGTGAGACATTGAGAGCAAATAAAAAGCAATAAATATGAATTTATGTTGTAAATCTGGTTATAACATAGATACAGACAACACATTTTAAAATACACATCATGTTATGTGCTTTATCTCATTTAATCCTCCCAAATGCCCTCTTAAATGAATATAATGGTTACCCCATTTTTTGTTGGTGAAGAAATAGAATTGTACTAGGTGACCATAAGTGTGGAAACATAAATGGCTTATTGATATTACATTTCAATACATTGT